GCTTATTCAGCGGTCGGCTGAGTCGTTGCGAAATTTTCGGCCCGATTTATAAATGTTAAACCCCCCCCCCCTTGAAAAAATCCTCCGTACGCGCCTGATTGTTACTGATGTAAGCTTATATGCTATTGATATGATTGTAATATTCTGGAGAAGATTGTAATGTGGTATCTTCTCATATTGAAGAGTTGTTGTATGATATTTATGTCTTACTAAACTTTTTGACATCTGCATAGGAACTTGTGTATATCACGGCCAGTGTTTTTTGTATATAAACACACTCGTGTTGCAGTTTGGCTGATTATAATCTATTATGTAACAGGACACTTTTTTTTTTTTTTTTTTTTGGTCTCGAAATTTGAAAATTTGACATTTTGCTCCGTTGGGGGGGGGGGGGGGTAAGGTCACCTGTTTTAGGTCAGCCATGGGGATGATTTTTTTTTTTTTTTTTAAATTAAAAAAAAAAAAAAAAATCCAAAGGGAAGGGGTTTTAGGGGGGTTTACACACATAAAAATACCAAGGGGGGGGGGGGGGGGTTAACCCCCCAACCCCCCCCCCCTGTGTACGCGCCTGGACTGACCATTGTTCTCTCTCTTTTCATATCAATTGACAGTTTTAACGCCCTCCCATCGAGGGAGCGGTAACATATGAGTATGCGCGCTGCATCTTCCCGCCAAAGATTTTGTTGACACAGTTTTCTTATCTTTTTCAGAATACCGATTTAATATGTAAGCTAACATACTTTTCATTCTAACATAGTTTCAGAAAACCACCCCAGTTCAACGAAGACATTTTGTGTACAGTACTCCCAATTATCACTATACATGTTACATGTATGTAGTGTATCAGAAAAACACTGACAAATCATAGTTGATCTGACACTACCAGGTTATACGTTCCAGCATGATTCCCGTTTGATTCGTATTAGAGGAGAAGTAGCTGTTATTCATAGAGAATCGGTCAACTTAGTAACATCGTCGATTCACATTTTCTCCAGCTTTGAAAGTATGTGCTGTGATCTTATACCTGACAACAATGCCTCGGTTTCTCTTAAACTGATAGTTCTTTACAAGCCATAATACAGTCGAAGACATAAAACAACATCTTCAATGTTTCTTTATGACCTTCACGATTATTTTTCTGTTTTAGCGGCGTTGCCTTCTAAACCTTTGATCGTCGGTGACTTCAATATTCACTGGGACGACAAAGCGAATGCACACACTAAGAAATTTGCTGACATCATGACGTCTCACAACCTTCTTCAACATGTTCATGAGTCCAAACATACCAATGGGCACATCTTGGACTATGTCTTTTCTAGAAGTGATGAGGATGTTATCAAATTTGTAGAGGTCTCCACATTTCTTAGTGATGATGCAGCTGTGCACTGTGATCTTGATATCTACACATCCGCAGCTGGTCGTAGAGAAATAGTGTATCGGAAATTGAAGGCAACAGACCATGATGCCTTTGTTAATGACTTGGAGACATCGGACCTGATTCAGAAACATGAGACTGATACTGATATCGATAAGCTGACCGATCAGTAAGAGAGAACTTTATCAAATATTCGTGATAAGCATGCACCCGTCAAGCGATGTACTGTTACCGCACGTCCGCCAAATCCATTGGGTTCAGAAAGGATCACAAAGGCAAAGAAGCTTCGGAGGAAATTAGAAACGAAGTGGCGAAAGACGAGACTAGAAGTTGATAGACAGTGTTCAGAACTCAGCGCTTGGTTGTCTGGGATATGATAAAGCAGGCGAAAGCATGATACTTTAAGAGAGATGTCTACACAAAATAGAGGAGATGCTTCACTATCGCTCTAAATCTATCCTTCCTACACATCGCAGTGACCCAGAGGTTGCAGAGAAGTTTAGCTTGTACTTTTCCACAAAGATAAAGGACATCCGAGCAGAACTCGATGCTGAGGTGGTAACTGGTACAAACTTGATAGTTGGCAATGCTGCTGGGAAAGACCACGTGCTTGACAGTTTCGACCTGGCATACGAGGAGGTATTAAAGAGGATTCTAATTGGTTCTCCGTCCACTACGAGCACACAGAATCCAGTTCCTACATGGGTTATGAACATACATCTGCGTCTTCTTTTGCCAAGCATAACATTCATAGTGAACAGATCGCTTGAAACAGGCGTCTTTCCTAGGTCATTCAAGGAAGCTGTGGTCCGACCTCTACTAAAGAAGCCAATACTAGACTCTGACACCTTAAAGAACTACATACCAGTGTCTAACCTTAAGTTGATCTCAAAGGTTGTGGCCTAGCGTCTTCAGGAATATCTGGAACTGAATGATCTAAGCGAACCACTTCAATCAGCTTACACGCACCATAGCACTAAATCTGCCCTTATACAAATTTATAATGATATTCATCAAGCACTTGACCAAAAACAGTCCGTTTTTCTTAATGCTACTCGATCTGTCGGCAGCTTTCGACACCATTGACAAGGACATACTCATAAGGCGGTTTTGTTCAATTGGTGTAAAAGGATCTGCTCTAAAATAATAATAATAATAATAATATGTCTTGTTTAACCAGGGTAGCCTCATCAGTATTCATACTGTTCTCCCTGAAGGCCCTGCAATCATATATTATTACCCCGGTCATCGGATTCAGGCTTACCCGCACACAATGTATGCACATTCTCCACTCCCTGGGGAGCATTCCAGCCAGGCGTCATTTTTACATGCGCACACTTGCTAATCTAAGCACATTAGCTTTCGCATCCTACCGGGTACCCATTTTACACCTGGGTGGAGAGTGGCAAATGTAGATCAATGTCTTGCCAAAGGACATTAGTGCCGCGGTGGGACTTGAACCGCGGACCTTGTGATCCACAGTCCGGTGACATATCCACTCGTCCACGACACCTCTACAATCTTGCGTGGATATCTTCTTATCTGAGCGACCATTTACAGGCAGTCAGGATCAATGAATGCATGTCATATGTGGCTGAACTTCCGTATGGGTCTGTGTTGGGCCCGTCATTCTTCAGCATTTATGCCACCCTCTTGCGGAGATTGCACGGTCCCGAGGCATCAATATACATCTTTATGCGAATGACACTCAGCTTAACACATCGTTTAAGCCATCTGATCCTTTAAGTGAGGCCTCTACCAGACATAAACTTGAAGCCCGCATCAATGATATGAGAGCATGGATGACACAGAACAAACTGAAACTGAATGATGACAAGAGTGAATATATGATAATTGCCTCAAAACATCTGGCAGCTAAGATCCATAGGCATTCATTATGCATAGGATGTGTTGATGTACAATCTGTGTCAATTAACCAGTCGTAAAAATATAGGAAAAAAATAGGGGAAAAATAGGGAAAAAATAGTCCCGAAAATATATTTTTTTGCTATTTTTTCCCTATTTTTTTAAAAAGAAAAATAGGGAAAAAATAGTTTTGGAAATAGGAAAAAAATAGGGTTGAATTTTTTTTCTTCTATTTTTTTCCTATTTTTCAGACCTGAAAATAGGAAAAAAATAGGAAAAAAATAGTGTAGAAAATAATGAAGAAAATAGTGAAAAAATAGTGCTAGTGAACAGTGAAAATAATGGGAAAATAGTAATAAAATAGTGAGGAAATATGAAAACAAATAGTGAGGAAATAGGAAAAAAATAGTAAGGAAATAAGAAAAAAATAATGGGAAAATAGGGAAAAAATAGTAAGAAAATAGTAAGAAAATAGGAAAAAAATAGTAAGAATATAGGAAAAAAATAGCAAATAGTGAGGAAATCAGAAAAAATAGTCAGGAAATAGGGGGGATCACTCATCCTTTACTTTCATGGATTTCTCAAGCACTACCATCTCACACATCCGGTCAACGACTCTGTTTATTCAACTTAATCATACAGTGCAAACTTGATATAAAGAGATCAGTTATACCTGAAATGACAAGGTAATTTACCAGCTTTTGGGGGTTAAGATTTCTTGGTTGCACATGACCTCATTGTAAAAAGTTTCCACTGTAGAATAGTCACCATACTCCTACAGCTCTTTTCTCTGCATCGATGCACCTACTCAATTTGCCAAATTCACTTCATCCTTTCAGTCCAATCCATTCAGTAGAACATTGAAAATAGTCAATGGGTATATGGAAAATGTTATACAGTCCACTCCTATTATAACAAACATGGATACACCAAGATTTTATTATGAGGCAATTCTCATCAGTCCCAATTTTAAACAAACCAATGTGTTCAGTAACTTGAGTATAACATGATTTCATTTTAACAAGGAAATTGGCTTGGTCCCAAGCACCTCGTTATAATGACAGTGGACTGTAACAAACAAAAAGAATAAAAGGGAATGTGTCCAATAAAATACATGTACTTTATTTTCCAGAGGTGAGTTTCAGGACTATTACTGAGCCGATGCGGATATGCCAGACGATCACAAGCTCTCTCCCTCACTAGTAACCAAATAAAGCAGTATTCTGGACATGAGAGTGTTGTTTTCTGTCTCTTTTATTACAATTTAATTACAAAGTGCTCTTAATAATGTAATAAAATTTTCAAAAGTCAAGAAAATCATGAGAAATAATATTTTTTTCTCGTTATTTACAAAGATAACAAAATAAAATAAATCATAGAACAGATTTTTCAACAATGCACGCATGCTTTATAGTACAGTTGACATGTTACATAATTTTCTCAATCTCAATGGAACTGTCAAAATTTTAATACAATCATCATAATACAATCAACACTTACTACAAAATCAATGACATGTCATGTCATTGAGATATATATAAACAAGAAAATTACAGACTTACATGCTACTATTTTCAAATAGTTTTACAAAGTATACCATCATTACCATGTATCATAAGTAAAGGTCTTATGGTCCTTTATCTTCACAATATGCAGGCACTCATTGTGTACACATACATGTTGTACTTGCCTATGAATCTCAATGATTAGACATAAGAATTACATAACAAAATGGAAACAAATACTAATTTAAAGATACAGATGTTGGTCATGCTGTTCACAGGCATCTAATCAAATGGTGGTTGTACGTTACATGTACATTATCTCTTGATTAGTTTCAATGGATCTGTAAAGATATAAATGAAATGTGAGTTAGGGGTTAGAATAATCATGCATTGGTACATTTATGAACATGCAATTAATACTTAGTACAAGTATTTATGTATTTCATAATGAAAAATGCAAAGGCACAGAACATGTGTGTACAAAAGTATGATAGCAAAAAAGATGCCAGGCTGACGACGAACGGATGGTGAAACAACGGAGTCATCAAAGAGCTGTCAAGGTGCATGAAATTTAAACCACTCAGGTAGGCAATTAATTAGAATTATTTTATTCTTAGATATATTGGGTGAATACACATAAAATAAAACATAAAATACAGAAAAGAAAATAGTAAAGGAACAATTTCTTGAAGAAAAAAAAAGGAAAGAGAAAAATAATGAAGGTAGAACTTGTGCCACCTGCAAATTGTTGTTCTAGCATAATGATGAGGTAAACTACTCTAATATTTTGATTTCAGATCTTAACTAACAAACATGAAATAAATATACCCAACAAAATTATCAACAATAGATTTAGATTTCTACTTAGTAAGGACATGTACCTCGCAGACACATTCTCGGACTTGGAAGACTTGCTCTTCTTCTTGCTTGGTGCTTAGCAAGTTGTGTTTTCTGATTCCTAGAAAAAAAATGTGAGAGACAATTTAGCCTATAACCACATCAAAACATTATATCATGCAAGGCAATATAATTGACAGACGTAGCAATAGTAACAAATCTGAAATTTCTACGTGGATTTATTGTAATCACGTTTTTTTACATTCACTCATTCACTAACAGACACTACATACACTCCACTCAGAAGTTGTGTAGATCTACAACCTCAACACTACATGGGAATATTGATACGTAAAATAGCATTCTTTACTATGAAGTAGCATTATATTCAACAACAGACACAATACAAATCTATATATCATAATATAATTAAGTTTCAGAAATAAACGTACCTTTTCAGCTGTTTTCTGGGGCCAGTTCCGCTCGTCGATGGTCCGTCATTCGACAACAAACTCGTATCTTTACGAGTGGGACTAATATTTTGAAAATTTGTCGGGCTCATTTTCTTGGGAAGAATCACTTAAATGGGATAAGGAGGCATCGGAGTATGAGGAGTCACTATATATTTAAAATTTCATGGCTAGAATAATAGCTGAATACATTTTGGTGTGATTTGGAGACGTTTGATAAATGAAAATCAGCAAAAGTCCGATGCGCACAATGATTCAGCAAGCGCACGAAAAGCAGTGGGGAATAAAATAACGGGTTTCTTTTTGAATCCGGGCTAACTCGCCCCACGGGACATCTCGCCCCAGCCTCAAAGACTGGGGCGAGATGTCCCGACACGATTCGTCGATCGAGAGATACCAATGTGTATTATGTTTGTGCTCATTGTACATTTTAGACGAGATGGCTGATGTTGGTCCATACAGAATGGATTGAAATTAAATGAAAATAAGACGGAGTGTATACACTTTGTTAGCAGACATAGGACTTGTAGTCCGATTGATGATGTATGTCTTGATGGTACTGACATAGAATGTTCTACAGGTGCTAGAAACCTTGGGGTCACATTTGATAATAATCTATCTCTGAAGACTCATGTGAACAATGTATGCAGATCTGCCTCATTTGCGTTGCATAAAATCGGTAGCATCCGTCAGTTTCTTACTAAAAAGACCACCCAGAGACTTGTTCAGTCACTGGTCATGTCTCGTATTGACTTTTGCAACAGTCTTCTGTATGGTCTTCCTGATGCACAAATTAACAAATTGCAGAGAGTACAAAATTCAGCTGCTAGACTTATTGCAAAGCGTCGTTCACGTGAGTCCATCACTCCACTGTTTAGGGAGCTTCACATGCTAAGATTCCGGGAACGAATTGATTTTAAGATCCTCTTGCTGACTTTCCAATGTTTGACAAAAACAGCTCCAGTCTACCTTCAAAGGCTGATATCAGAATATTTACCCTCCCGCAACCTGCGCTCAAACAAGAAATCACTCTTAATAGTTCCTACCACCAATACCCAGTCTTATGGTTCCCGAACTTTTTATGCAGCATCCCCTCAACTCTGGAACAATTTACCTCAATGTATAAAACAAGCAGATTCAACAGACAAATTCAAATCCATGTTAAAAACCTACTTTTTTTGTTAAATAGCCTTTTTCATTTGCATATGCAGCCCCCTCGATTGTCCACTATCTATTATGTATAACTTAATATTTGGCTGTAATTCCTTCTATTTCTATTTTTCTTAAGCGCTTAGAGACATATTTTGTGATAAGCGCTATACAAATGTTGTTAATTATTATTATTATTATTATGTTTGTTCACATTCTTTCGTCCTGGCCGTAAATTAGCAGACCACTGGTATCTCTCGATCGATAAATCATGTCGGGATATCTCGCCCCAGTCTTTGAGGCTGGGGCGAGATGTCCCGTGGGGCGAGTTAACCCGACTCCTTCTTCTTAAGTTACGTAGGGGTACTTGCGTACTGTCCTCTCTACGTTGAAACTTTACACACACATAGAACGGGAATATCTCGATCGAATGCTTTTTTTTTTCTATTAAAAAAAAATAATTGAAATTTCTATGTGTACATTTTCTTTTTACACATGGTTTATGTATGGTTATCTTTGAGTGCACTAGTCAGTACTATAGTTTGTAAATAAAATCAAGAATATTAATAAAGGAACAAAATTGAAATTTCTATTCGTACATTTTCTTTTTACACATGGTTTATTTATGGTTATCTTTGAGCTCACTATTCAATATGTGACCCGACAGCTAAAAACCACCAATAAGTCGCAAAATGAACAACAGAGATAATGGCAGGATCGAGAAGCGGGCTTTTTGAATAGGATGCCAGTCATAAACAATGAAAATATGCAAGTTTAGAAAATAGACAAAAATAGTTTACAAATTTGTATCATGTCATAAAGAATTTAAGTGCAAAAAATAGGAAGAAAATAGGTAAAAAGAAGTCTGAAAAAGATAAAGGTGAAAAAATAGGGGGAAAATAGTCCGAAAAAGATTAAAGCTGATATTCTAAGCAAATAAATGTCTCTTAATTTGGTACCTACGGCAAGCATATGTTATTTATAAGTTTTTCAATTACATAGTATATCACCAAAAAAATCTGGCTACTCGAAATCCTTAATTGAAATGTCGAAAATATCCGCCTCTCTTTGCGTAGAAAATCAGCCACGGCGCTGGTCTACTATATATGAAATCACGTTCGGGAAGCGTCTTATTTTTTCGTACCACGGCGAGGCCAGATTGAGCTCGCGAGGTAAACCTGCGCATGCGCACTCGCAAAGGAATCCAGCGCATGCGCACGTGGAATCCGGTAGGGCGGTTAATAGGGTGATAGTAATTATACAAATCAACATTTCATCAACTCATCGTCAGCTCAATCGGTAAGGACAGCGTGTTACTAATAGAACTTTGGAGTTGACGTGAGGGTTCAAATCTCGGTTTATTTAGTGTTTTTGCCTTTATAAATAGTGAGGCAAAGCAATAAATAATCAAAGTCGAATTGTTTGTGACCTCTTTGCAAGCTCTCATAGCTTGTTATGTATGAAAATGGGTTCATACTGGAATCTGGCCTCGCCGTGGTACGAAAAAATAAGACGCGTCCGGGAAAGAGTATATTCACGTACCCGGATGTTCCATAGAAAGCATATGCAGAGTGATACGATTTTCTGCTTATTTTTGTTTCAAAGGCTGAAAAGTCTAATAAATCATAATTCTATGTACAATTCTTTACCTTCCCCTAGTACTTCATAGTATTAATATCAATTCACCTTTTAAAAATTATGACATACACATGCCAACGATGTGGTATTAGTCGATATTTTCACCATGTAATTTTTGTTTTGGTGTTGAAATCAGCCCAGGCACGGAGTGAACAGTAGCTGTCTGCCCATGCACAGTTCAGTACCATACAGCGATCTCCCGATGGTTTATTTTGCCTTTTTCCCATGTCTTTCGCCTAATTGGCCCTGAAGATCCTTCATCTACCAATTCTGACACCGGTAGTCAGGAGCAAGTCTTTGTTAGTTGTTTTTCTTAGCTGGCAACGTCGCTTTCATTCTCTTGCAATTGCCAATAAACATATAACTAGCGCACGTACGTTCCATCACAAGCAAGCAGCGCCCCGAGCAGCGGTTTGGTCTTACCTCCCGATTCTGCTCGCTTCACGAACGTTCATTCAAGAGCCGCATCACTCGCCAAAATGTTATAGAGGAAGCGCGCTTGCATGATCTCATTCAAGTTTGATTTTTTACAACATAAAATGTTAAACTGGTACTGTATCCTTTTTTGAGGCAGTCACACACATCTATATGATAAGTACTATCATAGTTCTAGACCTATTCGTTTTACAAAACTGCTCCTGTACCTTATCTGATGACAAGATGACAAGATGCATCCGCCTATTCATACGTGCACGATATTTAACCTTGTTTTCAAAGCAGTAAACTCGTCTTAAATCTTTACGAAATAGGTGAAAATGAGGATAACAAGAAATCAGCGACTGGAAAATGTTGCTTCGTTATTCTTCATTCAAATGAAAACAGAAAATCCATCAAATATACTCCTTAACAACAACAAATCTAAGCTCTGACAAGATAGCATTTACGTAGGGATATCACTGCCATTCACTCTCACTGAGCCCATGAGTCCCGTTCGTGACATCACGGATAGAGGTCCGACTCTACATGCACTTCCGGGTTTCAGACTAGATAGTTTGGTGGCTTTCATCGAAAGGGTGCGGTGCGGTGCGGCGCGGTGTGGTGTGCTCAACGCACCCATTCGATAAAAGAGGGGGGCCTTTTCTCGAAAGGGTGCGTTGAGAGCGGAGTACCGTTTTAACACACCCTTTCGATGAAAGCGGGGGGGCTTTTCTCGAAAGGGTGCGTCGACTAGTCTTTCGCATCAGTCGTTTAAAATGAGGATCTCGGACAGAAGGTAATAGTTGCCAATTTAAGTATATCGAAAATGTATTAAATAAAATGGAATGGTCTTGATTACAGAGTGGTCTTTTTCGTTATTACTATGTTGATGGGGGAGACACAGAGAAGGAAAAAAGGGAAAGGGAAGATAAGGAAAAAAAGAAGAATAAGAAGAGAAGAGGGAAAGGTGGGGGGGCGAAGGACTCTTGCCCCCCCCCCCCCGCCAAAAAATAAATCAGAGAGAGAGAGAAGGGAAAGGGAAAGAGAAGATAAAAGGAAAGAAAGAAGAGGAAGAAGAAGAAAAGAGGTAAACGGGGGCAAAGGGCTTTTGCCTCCCCCCCCCCCGCCAACAAATAAATAGGAGAGAGAGAGAAGGGAAAGGGAAAGGGAAAGAGAAGATAAAAGGAAAGAAAGAAGAGGAAAAAGAATAAGAAAAGAGGGAAAGGGGGCGAAGGGCTCTTGCCCTCCCCCCCCCGCCAAAAATAAATAAGAGAGAGAGAAGGGAGAGGGAAAGAAAATATAAGAGGAAAGAAAGAAGAGGAATAAGAAGGAAAGAGGGAAACGGGGGAAGGGCGAAGAGCTGTTGCCCCCCCCCCCGCCAACAAAATAAATAAGAGAGAGAGAGAGTGAAGGGAAAGGGAAAGAAAATATAAAAGGAAAGAAAGAAGAGGAAAAAGAATAAGAAAAGAGGGAAACAGGGGCGAAGGGCTCTTGCCTCCTCCCTCCCCCCCCCCCCCGCCAAAAAATAAATAAGAGAGAGAGAGAGAATCTGTTCTGATCCTGGTCCTGATCCTCAAGAGGGATATAAAGATGACCAATAAGAACGTTATCGTTCGAGAGAGAGAGTGTTTGTTGCTTCTAGAACATTTTAGAATTAAGTCCCATTACATTGCAGTTGTGGGGAGGGACTATGATTATATTACCCCCTTGGATGGCTTCCCAGAGTCTGGCTTTGAAGGTTTCGACTGCGTCGCAGGCAAAGATGCTGGGGGGGGGGAAAGTAAATTCCAGGCCCGTATGGTTCTTGGAAAGAAGGTGAGTCGATATATATCCGTCTTGCATCTTATGTTGGAGAAGGAGAGGGAAAGAGAAGATAAAAGGAAAGAAAGAAGAGGAAGAGGAAGAAGAATTTGTGTTCTGCCAGTGTCACAAATAGATATATAA